GCTTTTGCTTGTTCGTTTGTTTGACTGTTTGTTCGTTCGTTCGTGTGATTGTTTGTTTGATGGTTGGTTGGTTTGCTCGGTTCTTTGGTTCTTTGGTTCTTTGTGTCTTTATGTCTTTGTGTGCTTGCATGCTTGTTCGCTTGTTTGCTTGTTTGCTTGCTCGCTTGTTCGCTTGTTTGCTTGCTTGCTTGCTTGCTCGCTTGCTTGCTTGCTTGCTCGCTTGCTTGCTTGCTTGCTTGCTTGTTTGTTTGTTTGGTTGGTTGGTTGTTTGTTTGTTTGTGTGTGGGCTGCTGAGGGTGCCCCTTTTCTGTTGTTCCAAAGGGAAACCACAAGGAGCACAACCCGTATTTGCGGTCCCCTAAAAAAAGGACATTCCCATGTCCATCCAGCCGTCCAGCCAGCTGTCCGATGCCACGAGAAAGGGCACCTTTTAGCTTGATGTTGATTTTGATTTGGCCATGGGTCAAGATTCAATTCGTACCCCCCAGTGAACCTCCCAATCCCCACGAAAATCGCCTAAAATGGGTGGTGCACCTACCCCAAAATGGTACCATTGGTTTTGGCCCACAGACATTTGGCGTGCCGAAAAATCCTGCGCTTTGAGGGTCTCCATAGCCTCAAGGGGGGCCTTCGCGAAGTTGGCAAACCTGTGGTTCTTTGCTTGAGGCCGGTCCTTTTGAAGGGGTCAGCGGTTTGCTTTGTGCTCTCCCGGCGGTAACTTTTTCTGCTAATGTTGGAGTTGTTTGCAAGAGAAACCAAAAGGAAACCTGGCCCCTTGTTGGCCCAACCCAATTTCAAGACAAACCCAAGCGAGCCGATGACTGGTCAGAAAGGTTCAAACAATTCTGGTGCCTTTATTAACATCAAGAAGAAGTCTACCCACACAAGAAAGAAAGTTCGGGAGCTCAAAACTTCCGGTAGGACCCTGATCCGACCCCCACGCCGGGCCTAGGTTTCGCCTGGGTTCTCCATACCCTCACCCCCACGCCTAGGTTTCGACACCATTCGCGGTAATTTTGGGGGCCAAGATCTTCATTTGAAGTGGGGATCATGCATCCTGCAGGTGGGGATTGTGGTTTTCAAGGACACGCAAAAGAACCCCTCCATTTTTGGGGGTGCCAACTCCTATTTTGAGACAAACCCATGTCAAGCCACTTGCTTCGGTTCAGGAAAAAAAAGAGGAAAAAACAACTCCGACCGTCAATGCGCTTTCACCCCGCCATCTGCACCGCCACCACGAAGAGCAAGGCCAGGCCGCGCTTGGCAATCTCCGGCAGCAGCACCTGAAGATCCAATCAGATTCGGGGTCGAACATGTGTCTCGCCATCCAAGGTTGTGGCACACTTCTTACCGGGGGGGGGGGGGGGAAAAGGGAAATCGGCCAAGGTTTACCCTACCACCTGTTCAAACACGGAACCTGACATGGTCTACCCTGCATGGTCCTGCCCTGACCACACCTGCAAGGAAAAATGAAGGAAGCCCAAAAAGGAGAAAGTGCAAAAGCTAAGCTAAGACTGGCAATGGCTTTATTTCCCCAGTATAGTTCCTTTGTTGGCGTTACCCCCTCTCTTGGTGGCGTGGCAGGGAAACCAAAAGTAAGATCCTTGCGCCAAATCTTAAAAAAGACGAGCCCCCATGGAGTCCCCTACTATGCGTGTGTGTGTGTGTGCGTAATGTGGCTTTTGTGTTTGTTTGTGTTTGTTTTTTGCGGCAGGCGTCGCCTAGACGGTTTAGGGGGTTGGCTTTGGGTCAGTATTGTTGTTTGCTTGCTTGTTTGTTTGTCAGTCTTTCTGTGTCTGTCTGTCTGTCTGTCTGTCTGTCTGTCTGTCTGTCTGTCTGTCTGTCTGTCTGTCTGTCTGTCTGTCTGTCTGTCTGTCTGTCTGTCTGTCTGTCTGTCTGTCTGTCTGTCTGTCTGTCTGTCTGTCTGTCTGTCTGTCTGTCTGTCTGTCTGTCTGTCTGTCTGTCTGTCTGTCTGTCTGTCTGTCTGTCTGTCTGTCTGTCTGTCTGTCTGTCTGTCTGTCTGTCTGTCTGTCTGTCTGTCTGTCTGTCTGTCTGTCTGTCTGTCTGTCTGTCTGTCTGTCTGTCTGTCTGTCTGTCTGTCTGTCTGTCTGTCTGTCTGTCTGTCTGTCTGTCTGTCTGTCTGTCTGTCTGTCTGTCTGTCTGTCTGTCTGTCTGTCTGTCTGTCTGTCTGTCTGTCTGTCTGTCTGTCTGTCTGTCTGTCTGTCTGTCTGTCTGTCTGTCTGTCTGTCTGTCTGTCTGTCTGTCTGTCTGTCTGTCTGTCTGTCTGTCTGTCTGTCTGTCTGTCTGTCTGTCTGTCTGTCTGTCTGTCTGTCTGTCTGTCTGTCTGTCTGTCTGTCTGTCTGTCTGTCTGTCTGTCTGTCTGTCTGTCTGTCTGTCTGTCTGTCTGTCTGTCTGTCTGTCTGTCTGTCTGACTGTCTAGTGCACTTTTATGTCCGCCCAGATATGGGTGTTTCTCAAAATCGGAATCGGTCCCCAAAGATGGTTCCTTTTCTGTTGGTGTCCCTTTAACAAAATTAGAACGGAAAACAAAAGAAGAAGAAGAATAAAAAAAACGCAAAGGGGGTCCAAAATCCGATTTGAGAAGCCCTCATATACCACCCTATGTTTCTCACATGTCCCCGTCAGTCTTTTCTGAGAAGCACAAGAGGGGCTGCTCGAAACCCGGAAGTGGGGCCTCCCTATTTCCACCAGAGGAGATGGTGCGAAGATTTCCACAAAATTTTGGGGGAGAAGGAATTACCAAGCCCCACAAGAACGGTATAGAAGAAGCAAGCATGTTAGGTGCTTTGGTTTGACATGGGAGTGGGACCCAGAAAAACCCAACAAAAGATGGGTTTCTGGCGGGCAGCCTTGTTTTCACAACCCTGAAAACTGACATGGCGACCAAAAACGGGCGGCAAAGTAACGGAGTCTTCGTTTATGATCGGACTCTTGTGATTTTGCATGCTTGACACAACATGAATGTAATTGGCGGGATTCCCGCTAGATGGGTACCAACAACCCTTTCATTGGACCAATCACTATCTTTCTTGCTGTCGGAAAGAATGGATCGGTCAATGGAACCCCAACACACGGGGTTGGCTCGAGCCCCCAACTTCCACACAAAGGTCGGCTTGGCTTTGCGCAAGACCACGCGCTTTCGCCGGCGCTTTGCAGCACCGATGCGCTTTGGTCGACGGCTTCGACGGGCTTTGGAAGCCCAGAAATGTTTGGGGCCCGGCTATGGCATGCAACAGCAGCGCGTGATTTTCCAGTTGCCTTTTGGTATGGCAACAAGCGTGTTGCCGAAAAAGCTTGACTTAGCGACAAGAGAGGTGCCCACACGTGTGGGGAAATGCCCCACTCTGACAAATGGCCGAAACGACGCATTCGGAGAAGGTTTCTGGATACAGTTCGGTCTCTCAAAACAGGTGTACCCCAAAATGAGTGATGTCCTACAGATGTTTCCCTCTAAAAAAAGTGTACCCACGAAAAGAGGACAAAATATGGTACGCTCTTAGTAGCAGTAATAGTAGCAATAATTGTAGTAGTAGTTTGCATGTACACATTACTGATAGTACCTTAAAGCGCGTTCAGTTCAGCTTGCGACGCTCTAGTTCCGATGGCCTCCTGCTCCGACAGGGAGGTGTACACCACGATGGGCTCGTTTTGCAGAAGCCGCCGCTGCCTCCGACGTCGTTCTTTCTTTGCATCTGGAGAGTGAAGCTTTTAGTTGGGGGACTCCCAAAGCGATGGGTCTCCTTTTGGTTCCCTTTGAAACCACCGAGGGAAAAAAAGGGGTGTAACTCAAAAAAAAACGAGCCAGTCTCCTGTTGGTTTTCCCAGTTTTCGGGGAAATCCCCGGAAAAAGAAATGGGGGGGGGAAAAAAACGGAAACAAAAAGGAACACCACGCCACACCCAGGAACTTACGTGTGACCCCAGAATCACCCTGGCCTTCCGGGAGATCCACCCGCAAAAAATATTTGTTGAGCGCATAGAGCAGCTTGAGACTTGAGACGTGCCAAAGGATCGCTGGGTCGTTGAGTCTACGTGCCAAATCCGCCGAGTCAGGGGCCTTTTTGGGCCTTTTTGGGAAGGCGGCACAAGGCAGCAATACTTTTGACAACCCCGAACATATTCCGTTGAGTAACATCAAACTTGGAGCACCTGTGTAAACGAAAGCCTCAAGCCTTGCGGCGATGGGTTTGTAAACTGGGGTGTTCCCAGTTCCCCTGCCCAAGACTAACTTGTACTGGTTTTATGGAACCTACCGCCAAACCTTAAACCTAGAAGGCAATGGCTGGGAACCATCAAGCCTTCTTCCAACGAGGGATTTGCAAATAGACCCCTCAAACTTTTCCGGACAGCACCGACTTCCTCAAAGCGCGGAGTGTCTGCTTTTGGAGGGTACCCTTTTTTGGGGTAGACTTTTTCGGGAACCCCATTGGAAAACAGCAAAACCCGTGTTTTGATGCATACCCATTTGGAAGGGTCGCCGGTTACGCGGCAGTAGTACAGGGATCTGCTCAAACAATGCTCAAAATGAAACACCTGGGGTTGAAACCGCAGGTGTTCATCTTTTCCATCTACCATGCGCATTTTTTCGGGGATTCCATCTTTAGCTGCCATGTTACCCTCCCATGGAACCTACCGACCCGATCGACCATTTCCCCAATGGAAACAGTTACGCAGCCTGCGGCGATCGTAATCCCAAGTGGATCAAAAAACCCGCCCAATGGACCCAATGGATCGAGAAACAAGCGCTGGGATTAATTTATCTACGTTCGGGAAAATTCGAAGGCCTGGACAACTGTATCATCATGCAAGTCATCAACTGATGCTCAAAGAAATGCGAAATTGTTGCAGAATCCAAAAAACAAAAACATCCGCCTCTCTTCCTCGGACTCCTGGACATTCTCGCCCTCCTGAAGCCGTCGGAGATGTTCGCTTTTTGACGTCCAGATGGGTGGCTCCCTTGGGCTGACGCAGGCGTTAGCCGTTCCCCACACCATGGGTGAAGCACCAACCAACACAACACAACCAAAATGGGACTGCGGGGAGGGAGAGAGAGAGAGACAAACAGAGACAAAGAGAGACAAAAACGGAGACAAAAACGGAGACAGAGGCAAAGGCAGAGGCAGAGCCAGAGCAGAGGCACAGGCAGAGGCAGACGCCGAGGCAGAGACAGAGGCAGCCGAGGCAGAGACAGACAGAGATGGGTGGGAGTTGGCAGAGGCAGAGACAAAGACAGAGAGACAGAGAGACAGAGAGACAGAGAGACGCAGAGATAGAGACAGAGGGATACACAAATCTAGCGATACAGAGATACAGAAAATAGAGATACAAAGATGCAGAGATACAGACCCACCCCAACACTTAGGGTCTGCTTTGAGCATCTATTGCTTTGGGGGTTCTCGTTCGTGTTTGCCAAATCGACCTCCAATGGAGGTTTACTCAAAGGCTGGTAACAATGAATGGCGAACCAAAAACCATGAAAAGAGTCAAACAGGCTGCACCCATTTATGCCTGGGTGAAGATGACGCCATCCACCCACACCCACCCACACCCACCCACACCCACCCACACCCACCCACACCCACCCACACCCACCCACACCCACCCACCCACCCACCCCACCCACCTCACCCCACCCACCTCACCCCACCCACCTCACCCCACCCACCTCACCCCACCCACCCACCGCCCATCACAGCCCGTCCGCCGGGAAGAGCGCGCCCCTCGGCAGCGCCGGGGAGCCAATGGCCATCGTGTCGTCCGGGAAGACCAGCTGGCACGGCATCCTCGGTCGCAGGCAAAAAGGACGGGAACCACACGCCAAACCCCCCCCCTCCCACCTTGGGTTGGTCTCTCTGGAGGGTAATTTCCCCCCTTTTTGTTGGTTGGTTTCCAAGGGCCAGCAAAAAGGGAAACCGCTGGTGCTGGCACGGCTTCTCAAAGACAAACAACACCCTTGGGGGTCCGGAGATGGGGCACCCCATGGAACCCGGCAGCTTCAGGTCAAAGAACTCAGGGTGAGAATGGGAAGTCCACAAAATGGGGGGGGGTCCCTTTGGGAAGCCTAAGCCAAAGCGCCCTCAACAAACAGTCCCTAGTCGAAAGGGACAAAAGAGACCAGTCGTCTCCAAACAATAAGGTGTCATGACATATGTGTTTTTTTCACATTCCTGATCCGATCACGGGGCTGGTTCGCTAGAAGAAATACCTTCTCGAACCTGTCCACGACAGCATCGGTGATTCGCAGGTCATTTCTCAGCACCATCTTCATACAACTTCGCTTTCAAAAATCACAAAGGCCCAACATGATAACTCACAGGCGCATTTGGCATTCCCACCTCCAAAGGAAACCCTTCGCCTTTTTGACCCACCCACCCCCCACCCCGCCCCAACGCCTCCCCCGCACCCCTTTCTGCCACGAACTCTGCCAGGCTGCTGCTTTTGAGACTGCTGCGGTGCAAGCGCGTGGGTGATCGCCTGCAGCCAAACCCCACCCCTTCCCCCACCCCCCGAAACCGCCCAGCAGGATCGCCTGGAACTCCGTGCCCTGTTTCAGTTGGGAAACAAAATGGCCCGGCAACGCATGGAATTGCTTCGACGCGCGGATGTGTGGCCAGAAGGGTTTCAGAACATGGTTGAGTATCCTGAACCAAGCCTCTCCCAAACAGATGAGCATGTGGGGCAACAATGCGAGCCACGAACCAGCAAGCCATCCGCGTTCAGAAGGTCCTGCCAGCTAGAACGGTTTCTCTTCATGTTCGGGTGACCAAAACATGTTGGGATCCCTTCTTGGCGCAAGGGGATTCGAAGAGAAAACAAAACGTCCACCTCAGCGCCGCCTTTGGGGCCTTTCCTGGACAAGCTCTGAACCACTGAGGAAAGGGTTGGCACTTTGCGTTCTCTGATCTGGGGGGGGGAGTCATTGGTCAGGATTTCGGCATCGCAAATCGCGGCAAGCTCAACTTCCCGGACCGTCCACTTGCAGTTCTTCGTCGCAGTCCCGGCGGAGAAGAGTTCCCCTGTGGCTCCCTGAACCCCACGAAACGCGCAAGACATTGGGAATCCCGCATCCATAAACCCCAGTTTGGGGGAATATCCCTGGATTCATTGATTCGATTCGCTTTTGGAGGGCACCCCTCCCCTAGGACGGGTGTATTAATCCGAGGTCAACAGAAGTGCTTTGCTTCGAAGACTTTGGGCTACGGCCCGGATTCATGGCCCTAGCTTGTGGTCAGCTTGGAAGGGAAATGGGTGTGTCTTTGCTGGTTTTCCTCTTGGTGCCCATATAAAACGGGTCCCGATTTGTTTTGGGATTTTTCCCGTTTTTTTGTGGGATGTTTTCCTGGATTTTCTATCTTGGAACTGGCAGGTGCGATCTCCCTTGGTTCTTCTGAGGTTTGACTTGTTTTGCACCAGCGCTGTCAACATCCCCGGCATCGTTTTAACTCGGCAGCATCCTTTTCAACATGCTCAGCATCACGAGTTAGATTCGTTAGGCTGGGCTTAGGGTGGGTTTAGGTTGGCTAGGGTTGGTTCATGGTGGGTTCCAGGCTTGTTTAAGGCAAGTTCGCGGGTTATGTCTCAAAATCTAACAGGTTGATGGCCAGCCCCTGCAAGTTCGCTTTGGTCCAGCTTTGCTTTGCGCCTCACCAGTTTGACCCAAAAACGCCACATCGCCTAGTCCGGAAAACGCACAATTGGTGTCCTTTTAAGGGAAGATAGATGGATTTCTCTGGTAGATTATGACAAACAACCCAGGTCAACCAGGAATCGCCATCTATACTCCACCAAAACGACCAAAAGGGACACCTATGCGCGCAACGTTCGAATGAGTGACATTCCTCCCTATGGCGTCCTTTTCGCTAAACAATCATTTGTGCGCGTGTGGCATTGCCACCTCAAACAGCAGGGCAGAAGCAAAACCGTCAATATAAGGCCAAAAGAAGGAAAAGCCCTGGAGGGATTCTGAGAAGGCTAAGTCTTTTTTGGGGGGACCCCCCCCAAAAAAAAACGGTGGTTGTCTTTTTGGCGTTCCGTTCAAAAAAAGGACTAGACCCTCCCCTAGAAATAAGGCCAAGCGTGACTAAGACTTTCTAAGGCCTCACCAAGGCTCTTTGAGGCTTTCTGAGGCTTTGTGAGTGAAGGGATGGTCTAGGGGCACTGCTGTTGGGTTTCATAAAACTAAGGGAACCGTGAACCAAGTGTAAAGTTGTAGGATGTTAAGCATGGACAGAACGTGAAGTGGTCCAGAATCCTCCTCCAAGCAGTTGCCTTGGAGATTGCGAGGTTGATCCTGCAAACTGTTTAAAAGGTTCTCAAACATTGGGCAAGTTACAGCCACCCGACCATCAGGGTCGGCCTTTCTTTGTGGGGAACCCTGTTTTGCTTGGTTTTATATGGAGGGCTATTTATTTTGGGAATTTTCCCGTTTTTCTTTAGGAATATCTGGCTTCTTAGCTTCTTGGCTTTTAGCCTTTGTCTTCTTGGAGTCTGGGCTTTTTGGCTTCTGGCTCGTGGCTTTTTCGTTTCTTGGCTTTTTCGTTTCTTGGTTTTTTGGCTTTTGGCTTTTGGCTTTTTGGCTTTACTTTGTGGCCTTTGTGGCTTTGGCTTTCCGCATCCTCAGCATCACCAGTAACACCCCAGCATCCGCCTTTTGGGAGCTTTGGCTGGTGGCTTCTTCCCTCCCATGCTTCTGTAGATGAGGGGGGCTGCGCCCCCCCCAACCCCCGCTTCTTCGTAGGCAACGAACCCCAATGAGTCCAAGCCCACGGTCCTAAAACTCACATTTTGGCCCCAAAAACCCTAAACCAACCCTAAACCACCGCGAACCCCACCCCAAACCACCACTAAAACTAGAACCAACCTTAAAAGCCAACCCGAAAGAAACCCTAAAGAAAACCTTAAACCAGCAAAACTCCCTAAAGAAAACCCTAAACAAACCCACTCTAAACCAGCAAGAGACTATCCCTCAACTCTAAACCTACCCTAAACCAACCCTAAACCCCAAACACCAATCCCGAAACCCACCCGAACCCCACCCAAACCAACCCTAAGTCTGGACTAAGTTTGTATTATTCTGTATTGATGCTGGTTTAGAGTGGGGGTGTACTATACGATGCGCACTAAACCAGCACAAAGCCATTGTTAATAAGCCCACCTCAAACCTCAAACCACCCCCACTAAGCAAACCCTATAGCTCCCTAAAGCAACCCCAAAACCAATCCCTAACCCCCCGTACACCAGCACTAAACCCAAACTAAACCCTTAACAAGCCCAAAGCAGACGCGACACCAACCGCCCCCTACCCCCCCCAAAACAAACCAAACCAACACTAAACCATCCCACCTAAACACAACCAAAACACAACCACAGCCTAAACCAACTCTAAACTCACCCTAAACCAGCCCTAAACCCCTGAACCAACCCCCGGCACCCTCTGCCAAATTTCATCATTCAGGGCATTTACAGAGACGATTTTTTAAATATATATATATATATATAGATACTTCCTTGGGCTGACCGCTAAGCCCCAAACAAGCACCGCGGCCGACGCAAACGGCCTACAGGCCCAAAGCCTGAGGGCGGCCGGCCCGTTGCTTCCCTAACTCCGTCGGGCCTGCTGGTGGAATTGCAGCAGGGAGCTCCGGTCGAAGTGATCCATCCGGAGCCGTTGCTGCCTGCAAATCAGGTGGGGTGATGTTCTTGGCACCCCTTTTCGCTCTTTTTGGGTGTGCTTAAAGGGGAACCAAAAGGATTTAGGGGGGTCCCCGAAAAAAGAAGAAAAAAAAAGGACGGGCCCACATGGAGGATGAAAACATTGGAAGAGCCGCAGCTTCTCATAATGCTGAAACTGCCCCCCCCCCTTTTGCTTGGTAGAAACAAGGGAATCCAAAAGGAAACCGCTGCCGTACATGGACAGAAGACATCCTGCTCCGCCTCAGGGTTGGGGGCGGTTGGGTTGCGCGGTTGGGAGGCAACGTTTAAGTTGGGAGGAGGAGGCGCAAAGAGAATCTTCTCCTGCAGGCGGTTCAGGATTGATTCTGTCAACAGTAGGGGGTCCATTTGCGGGCGGGGGGGGATCACACGCCCAAAATAATGGCCCCGCATATTCACTGGAGATTCCTCCAGCCTGTCCCAGCACAGCCCCCACCTAAACATTGCAATCATCCATGAGAAGAGAAACGGCGGGCTGCCCTCTTCGATCCAAGGATTTCGGGGGCGGAGGGGGTGATCTACCATGGCTTCCACAAACCCACAGACCACTACGCCTACAAGAAAACTTGCCAGTATTGTCCACATTAGCTCACAAATTTGGTCAGATTTTTTTTTTGGGGGGGGTTGTCTAAGATGAAAACTGTGGCCAAATGGTAGTTGCAAATCCCGTCAAAATGGAAACCATGTTAGGAGGGTAGCAACATGGGATGAACCAAGGGGTTTTCTGCAAGTCAACACCTGGAAACCCAAACTTAAGGCCACGCAATTTAGAACTTACAAACCTATATGCTGACTTGGGATTTGTTCTAAGTTGTCACTCCTTTTTAAGGGGCAGGCAAATTAAAAGAAAGCAACCAGCTTGTCTTTCCTCACTAGATGTTACTCGAACTCCAATTAAATATAGGTTTATGCCTACTTGGAAAGGAAATTCTGATTAATATATAATTCAGAATAAGAAAACTACTTGCTTTCGAATGAAAGTCCTACGTGAAGAGAAATCCTTGCAATTTAAAACTTGTAAATCAATACAACTGACATGGCATTTGCCCTGGATTTCTATTGGGTTGTTCACCAAAACCCAGGGACCGCCACCTGAGCAATACTCCAGGGGTGGCTCCCAAAACAGGAGCCTCCCCCGTGTTCAAAAAAAAAAAAAAAAACTTGATGGAAATCCAACTAACAACCTTCCTGCCATCGGATGGGAACCACCAAAAGGGGGTTCACCATGATTAGAGTTAGGCCCGGTTATAGAATGTATTTTATTGTTTGCTTCACTTTGAGTCACTGGTAAAATGTAAAATGTATCCTAAATCTACCCCAGTCACCATTGTGAGAAACTCCGAGAAAAATTTGGGCCTGATGGTCTTGCTTTTTGCGAGCCCACTCGCGCCTCATGCTGGGCGATCAGGATCCTTTGCGACTCGACTCGACTTCGCCATCGAGAAATCGAAGAACCATCACATGGGCCTGTCCTTTTCTGGAGTCGGCACCCCATGTTGGGCTTGGTTTTTTTTGGGGGCGGGGGGGGGGGGGGGGGATAATAAAAAAATTAAGGTACCAACGGGAAACCAACCATTTCGCAGACAGACAGCGCTCTACGCTCGGCCAGTAGCAGGTCAGGTTCAGAACGCATTGCAAGCAGCGTGAACGCTCTCTGCAGTCACCCTTTCTGGTCGTGTTGATTGCGTTGGCACAGCCTTGCTGCTTTATCCCTCACATCCCGGACGGGCTTGCTGAACCATTGTGTTTGGGAAGGGGCCTACAGCTTTTAGTATTGCCGGAATGCGGGTGCAGACTTGTGGCTATTGTCGAGCCAAGACTATAATAAGACTTGGCGCGGGCGTGTCGCTAGCGTGAAACTTAACCTTATTTATGGATACCCCTTGAACGGGCTGGTGCAAAGGGAGAACCAAGAGGAAAGCAATCAGTGGTCTCCCAAAGCACAGAAGTGATGGATTCCCTTTAAAACCAACAGGGGAAGTAAATCATGTCCTTAAGCAAATGCAAGGTTTCCTGTTGGCGTCCCTTCAAATACCAAAAAGGGGGCCGAAATGCATTTTGAGAAACTCCCACTGAGGGATTCACCAGAGGTCCTGTGAGCTATCACCCGCTCCAGAATTCTGGAGCCTCTCCGACAGTGCTTCGTGCGAAAATCGACACTAGAGCAAACAAGTTAAATGGCCATGGGTCAAAATCCTGTACTGCCAGTGAACATCCCAATCCCCACTATCATGGGTTCTAAAATGGGTGGTGAATTCATCTACCCCAAAATGGTATCCCAAAACGGTTTTGACAACCACTGCCATATTTGCGCCAGAGCTTTCCCTAGCTGGAAGGGAAGAGTGTCTCATGGCAGCCGCAGCTTCCGGTTTCTTCCTTCCTCAAAAGTTCTCCGAGCGGTTTTAGATCTAGCGCCCCCGCTCCCAAATCTGGGCTGTCCAAATTGATCCCCTGGGTTAAACGGAAACCCCAACTGAACCCTAAGAAACTAGAAAGCCAAGGGCATGGCTGCGAATCACCAAGAAATGCCAATTTGAACTGCGACAATCGCAGTCAAGTGTTTGAGAGGCGCTGTCTAAGAAACATTGTGAATCCGAGTCGCTTGTCAAAAAAGGACCGCGTTGCCTCCCAGATTCCGCACTCAAACCGCTTGTTAGGAAATGATATTCCGGAGTTCTTCTCCACTCGCAGCGTGCGGATCCTGAACTTGCATTGCCTATCTGCCGGAGTTCTATCAAGGGGCAGCAAGCAAGATGTTGCCTTCACCTTGGGCCCGTTTCATTCCATGGCCACCCTGGCTCAGGGTGAGAAGGCCTGAAGGCTGGCTCAGGCCTTCAGGCACGGCACAAGGTTCAAATCCTCCCACCTGGTGTCGTGATTTTGGTCGTGCTATTTCGAGAGAAATGCCCAAACGAAAGCCCCCTCCCAGCCGTGAGGCCCCGCCCCCCCCAAGCCGAACAAAAGGGGCGAGGCGCCGAGCGAGGGATCGCCGGGCTGGATCCAAAGCCGCGGGCGAAGGGCCGCACCGTGAGGTCAGTTCTGCGGGTTTTTGGTGGACCCTCTCTTGCTCTGCGTATCGTGTTCATGTGTTGCTGTGTCTTTTGTGGTACCCATGGTTTTGGCGGTTTTAACGGGAAATCCAAAGAACAACTGGCCAGTCTTGGGGTCCCACAAAATGAGACACCCCGATGTGTTGACGTGTTCGGGTGAGTGGCTGGCTGTGACGCTGTGGCGCTTTTGATTCCGCGTGGCTCGCACTTCGCGAGCCACACGCAGCCTGGATTTCATGTTGAGCCGAGGGCAGCGGGCGTGGCAAGGTTCAAATATTTCGACATGCAGCTCCTGATGTGAAAAGCTTTCAACCAACTTGACGGCACAAGTGACCTTGGAAGAGAGTCCTTTGCAAATCCAAAATCCACTACGACTCACCTCCCGTTTGGAGTTGCTGGTCTGACAGCTTCCGAGAAATGGCGGGAAGGCTCAGGGGGCAACCCAGCAGCTTTGTTAAGCAGCACACCGGTGGAGCTTAAACCCAAAGAGTTATATGGGCAGGTGGCTATGTGTCCAAATTGGGAGACCCCCCAAAACAGTGACTTTTTGTTTCATATCAATTTAGACCACGGTGAGAAGGGCACCCTGAAACACACTCCACACATATAATGTATATATATATATGTGTATATCTCATAAGGATCTGAACCACCCATTTAAGCCACGAAGATTGCCTGAGGGTGTTCGATGCCAATGCCTGAAGTCGCAGGGCATGTCCGAAGACAACGCTGTCTTGCGTGTGTTGTGCTTGCGCGAGTTCTTCTTCGGTTGATGCTTTTCAACGGAAGCAACAAGGGCTTGAAACTGCCACGGAATCATGCCTACGTTTGACCCTTGTTTTCCTTTTTGAAGCATCGTGGTGGGTGACCGAGCAACTTCGGAGCACGTCCTAAACTTATGAAGACCTAAACCACCCCACCGGCCCCACTTCCCGTAGGACCTTCCTAGGACTCTAGGACTCTCAGGACAGCCAGCTTTCTCTAAGCGGGTGCAACTCCAAAAAGACTCGCCCATTTGATTGTTCTGATTCGATCTCTCCTGAAGACACCCCCACAAGAAAAAGAAGAAGAAAAAAAGACACGCGCAAAAGGACTGCAACTCCAAAAAAACACGCCCCACAAGCGTGTTTTAGGGGGAAATAAAGCAAAAATCTAAACCAGTGGCTTGCCCATCCTCAGGACACCTCCCAGAAGCCTCGACTGGAAACCTGCCCCCACCCCCCCCACCCCCAAACTCGGCTCGGAGCTCGGATCGGAGTTTGGCCTCCAGCAGCAGCCGCGCGCCGCGGACGGTGAGCGCGGCCCCGAAGAGACCATAGACCTCCCCGCTAGGGCGGAATTAACCGAGCTGCCGAAGAAAAAAAAGCCGCTTCGATATGGGAATGAGAAATGAAAAATGACCCCCGGGGGGGGGGGGGGGAGAAAAAAAAGAAAACAAAACGTGATAATACCCGAGTTTCCTTTAAGGGAATTGGTAGGTTTCTCAAAACCCTGGGTCATTCCCTACTGAGAACCAGCAAGAAATGCATTATTTGTTGAAAAGGCCTTTGGTCAAAAGGATACCCTCCAAGAATCACGGAAGCTGACAGGAGGGGTTTGAAAGACCACTTTCCTTTTGGGGAAGCCCCTGTCCACTTTCATGACTGCTGGATAGGGTACCCTTGCATTTCAGGAAATGGCCCGATATTTTGATGAATACCCAAATGTGCGATTGTCAAAACTCCGGCAATCGGGGATCAGCCTTTTGGCTCCCTTCGTAGGAACCCTTGCAGTTGTTGTTCAAATTCACAATTGAGGGGTTGGCGCTTTGGAACAAGCAGGATCGGGTAGGACAATGTTGACCGAATTGATGAATAAACCCTTGGTCGATGTTGTTTTTGTTGTCTTGTTTTATATTTTTGGGGGGCGGGCACCACCCATTTGCAAGGATCTTCCTCACTTTGTGGGAGTCTCAGGGCTCCATGAATTCAGAACATCTCAGTTCGAAAGGCTCTCTGAGAGAGAGCCCCGCTGAAGATCGGCATGGCTGCTGCTGCCACCAAAATGGCAGTGGCTCAAAATTAAAGAGCTAGGGTTACGCAGGTTTTGGTCCATGTCTCCACTTACCAGGGCAACCCATTTTGGAATTCCGGTTTTTTGAGCCATACCCAAATCACAAGTTGGCTTTGCACAGAACCAATGATTCTCTCCCTGCGGCTAGTCTTGACACGCGCCGTCACTGCCCAGCGGCGCTCGCTCCAAACCAACGAAGCAACCACGCAAGCTGCCAACCAACGAAGCCGACCCACCTGTCCACCCAAAAACCTCTCCCAGCAAGCCAACCAGCCAGCCACCCACCGCCAGTATCAAGATTGCATGAAAGCACTGTCTCATGACCTATGTTCGATGTTCAGGGCGCTTGCCAACCTACCTGAGGGAAATCAGCCATTTTGTGAGTTCCCCAAGTAGGGGTGCCCCTGTTAGTGGTGTTAAATGGAAACCAAAAGGAACACCATCATATGTATAAAGGCGTGTATATATATATATATAAGGAAAACCACCATACATACTCAAAATATATGCATACATCTATACTCAATATATGCATACATCTATAAATATATATATATATATGGGGGGGGGCCTAAACAACGACAAAGCCGTTTTGGCACATACCCATTGGCATCACCCCCAAGGCCCCTTCATCAATCCACGCCTGGATCGGGCGGCAAAGACATCGGTTCAGGTGGCCTCGGGGGAGCCAGGCTGCGCGCGCGTGGGGAATTGTAAAACCAGCCAAGGCGCACGAACCACTTCCATTTGGTTTTTCGCCCCAGGAAACAAAATTAAATATATACTTTAAAAATACAAAATAAATGAATATTTTTTTTTAAAAAAAAAATAAAAATGTCCAGTAGTGATGAGTTCCTTTTAAGACCGACAAGGGATTATTTTTTTAAAAAAAAATGGAGGACCACAGGTACTAAACCACGGGTAATGTTGACCCAGAATTAATAAACCCGTCCCAGTGCTAGGGGGGTGTTCCCTCCAAAAGTGGTCTGAATCCCCCACTAAAAGGGGACCCCCCTTTTTGAATCAACCAGGGGTTCATTAATCCGGGGTTAACATGACTCGCGTTGTTTATATCGGTTTTCACCAGTATCATAGTCAGCCAGCAAGTAGGAAAGCAAATGTGTGGTTGATTCTAGGGGTACCTTCCCCATCCGGACCCAGGGATCCTTCTTTTCATCAAACCATCAAAAACCCTGGGGAAACAGCCGGTTTTTGAAAAGAATGGTTGAAAAGAATGGGAATCAAACCCTAGACTTTTAGGTGAGTTCGGACAAAAAGAGAGATGAAACCAGCCAAGGCACCCAAACCACGGGCAAAATGGACACCAAAAATAAATACAAACAGACAACGCTCAAGATGATAAACATTGTGGACAGACAGGACATGAGTTTGAGCTCGGAAAACGGATATTTTTGTCCAGCAATAACCTCAGAGGAACTGTTGGAGCCATCCAAACGTGCCTCCGGAGCTACGTTTTCTCGATTCGGTCGGAGGTTTTGAAGAAAAAAAGCCTCCCACTCACAGGCGGGTTCGAGCCCGTAAACCAATCCGAATCGTTTTTTTGCTCGAGGGTTCATCTTGCACACGATTACCCCCTTCAATACGATACAAGGGTCTTCGGGGACCCCAAAATCGTGGCCTTCGTCTTGGTTTCCCTTTCTCTTTAAAACCACAACAAAGGGGGACCTTCACAAGCAACAGGCCCATATCCTGAGAGTAAAGCCTTCCTCTTAGCTTCCTGCCGCTGAACTTATCTTGCGTCAGGTCAGGCGATGTCTCAAAGGCTGCGAGTCTCGATTCGCCCTTGGGGTCGTGCACAATGTAAAGGGTCAGAAGGGTGGTGGACGACTGAACGAAACTCGCAGTTGAAAGGTGCGTTCGATAATGCAACTGACCCATGACCGACTAGTGCATGCGGGTTTCAGTGGAGAGGGCGACGCGCGGAGGGTCACGCATACCCTGCCCATGACTCTGACCAGACAACCAACCAACCCATCAAGCAAGCAAACAAACAAGCAAATGAACAGAGGGAGGGAAGGGAGGGGGCGGGGAAGGAAGGGAGGGGCGGGGAAGGAAGGGAGGGGCGGGGAAGGAAGGGAGGGGCGGGAGGGGGAGGGGGGGGAGGAAGTGAAGGGAGACACGCAGCTGAATACCTGCAGGCACTAATTACCCGCTCGCACCCTCCCCCATCTTCGCAACCCGTGCTGAGCACCCTGCCATCCAAAGGTGCCATGGAGCAATCATCGTCGTAATAGCCCACGTGCAGGAAGTCCCACCTCTCGCAAAGCGTAGGCTCGTGGGGCCAGCTTTGAAGCCAGGTTTGTTGGGGGATGTGAGGGTCTACCCCTGCTCCTTTTGCGCGGTTCCCGCGACTTCCGATGCTTCAACTTGAAAGGGCCAGAATGAACCTGACAGTTGAGCTTGCCTCACGCCGTCAAAATGCGAGCACAACTGGGAATGCAACAAAGTTGAATACTTTGCCCCAGTGCCACACGCCAAAATGTCACATCATATGTCATCCTTTGGTTCTCCTTTCGGACGCTGACAGCATACTCCACACAAACCAACAGCTCTTGCAGCATAGCAAATCGGCCAAACCAGGAGAGCTCGCTCTCGTTGAACCCCCACGCTATGTGCCCATAGGACCTTGCATTCCCCAACCCGGGGAATCACGGCGAATCTCGGAGCCCTTTCGGACTCCTGGAGATCATCGTGTCCCACGTGCTGATCATGCGAGTCGCTAAGATCGAGGAAAACCCACGTGCTGATCATGCGAGACCTCGTGTTTCGTGGTTCTCTCACCAATGTTGTATTGTCTACTCGCCTTCTGTGGCAAGTCCACAAAAGAGCGAAATCCACCGCCGAGTAAATGGCCACGTTCTGATTCACCCTGCCAACCACATGAGCATTCATTCCCCCTTCCCCCAGCTATTCATCAGAGAGTTAGCCTGGACAAAGAAGCCGCCCCACGCAAAAATGAAGACCTGGTTGTGCGTTCTCCTTTCCAAGACTGTTCAAAGGGAATCAAACTGACTTGTTCTCTCACCCAAGTTGCAGGGCAGCCAAGGCCTTTTGCCTTTTGCAGGCGACAGATCAAAAACATATCAAAAAGCACCAAGCATCGCATTTGGTCAGACGTCCGCTCCCCGCCTCGTTCCCTGCAGCGCCTGGAATAAAAATCGAAAATCGTGGCTTGCCGCTGGAAAGGACTCCTGAACAGAAACAGAAACACTCATCGCTGCCATCAACACATGCACATAGGTGTCCTTTTGGGGGAAATAGATGGGTTTCCCTGGTAGATGATTAAACCATCAGGTAAACCATTAATCGCCCTCTATTTTTCTAGCAAAGCAACCAAAAAGGACACCTATGCACATGCACCCTAAGAACAAACTTTTGGAAGCCCGAGCGGCCTCCTCCTCAAGTTGCATCCACAACCCTTGGGCCGCAGAGGGCGGCTCCGAACACTGAACCCCCACTGAAGCCCTCGGAAATCTCCGGATCCGTCTGCAACCCTATTGAGCAACTGCTCGATGGAAGCTGCACGGAACCTTCGCAAACCTCTAACCCCATGGAGAGTGTCACATTTGATTGGCAGAGCGAGGGTGGTTTTCTCAAGCGTAAGCACGGCAACCGCGAAACAACGCAAATGTCAGTCAAGACTTAGGGATCCGACATATTCCCCCGTCCCGCCAGCACCCCATTTGGGTGTTTTAAAGATAGGCGACCAATGTGGTCTTCCTGTTGGCTTCCGAAGACAAATTGCAACAAAATCCACCATCAAAACCGAAGACCGGCCATTTTTCGCCGGGTTGTTGGCGGCCTTCCGCCCCTTCCCTGGCCCCTCCCCCCCCTTTCCGCGGGCCAAACGCGCGCCGTTTCCGGCGGCTTGGCCCCGCCTCCAAGCACTGCTGCAGGCGCTGGGAGAAGTCGGGCTCCAGGACCTCGAGAGGTCAAAGGCCGGCGAACGAGAAGTCGGCCTTTTTTCCCCCCCCCCTTCCCATTATGAATCATAAAGGGGGAAGACAGTTTCCCTTAGTCAGTGGGGGTGAAGAAAGTTTCCCTGAATAAGTGGGGGGGTTTAGGGGGGTGGGTTTAGGACTCCGGTGGAACCCGGCTCATTTCAGCACCCCTCGTTGTTTTGGTGGTTTGCCATTTGGGTGTGGCGCTCAAAACTAAAAATGGTTTTTTGGTGCTTGGGATTGGCTTGGTGGTTGAGGACAGTTTCCCATTTCTCATTTCTCATTTGGGTGTGGCTCAACATTCATTTGCGTTGCGCAGGTTGTGTTTGCTGCCATTTAGCCAGGTGCCATGTTCCTTGAAGAGGATCTTCAAGTGTCATCAGAAAGCAACAAAGGAGGGGAAGCATTCCTCGCCAATATTCTTGGAAAGGTCTTCATTTTCCTCATTTCAAGGAACCATTGCTTCCCTCGTTTTTTAAAACCCATTGCTTCCCTCATTGCTCGGTGGTTTGGATTGGTGGCTAGGGGTTCAAATCCCCAAGCTGGTTTGGAACAACATGTTGAACTAACCACACGCTCCGAGATCCAGTTTGAGAGTTAGCCCCCAAGACTTGGGTAAAAGGCTGCAAGTGGCGAGGCGTCGCTTAGGAAGCCTACAATAGTCCAAGGTCCTGCGAAACGAATATCCCTATGAGCCTGGGGCAACTTCCTGGCAGCCATGGCGCGCTGGCTGATTCCGAAACAAAGCGGAAGATTCGAGGATCATCAAGCAAACATAAAATGAGGGTGTCTTTGTAAAGGGTCCCCTTTTTTTGTATTTGTACTGGAAAACCAAGAGGAAAGCCAGCATTTTGGGGGCGGTCGCTAAGAAAAAACACACCCAAATGATCATGTGAGTCACCAACGAAAATCCCCACCCATCGTTTCCTTCCCGTAGCAATAGATGACTGGAGAGCCCAATGTCATCCCTTCCAAAGAGTTGTGGCCCCCGGCAGCATCATCCTCAGCCACCACGTAAACGTTCTCCTATTGGAGCCAAGCTTGCTGTGAATGGCTGAGGTCAACTCAAAACCTATGGATTGCGATGATCAACATGCCCAAGCTAAAACTTAAGTTGAACATTGTACTACGAACCGCCGTGTTTCTGATTCAATCTCCCGCATCTCCTCCTCCGCGTCCGCTGCGATCCGCTTCAGCAGCGTGTGGTAGGAGAGGATCAGGCCTGCGGCTCGAAGCCATGGCGATAGTCTCTGGTGGGAGAACCACCCAGTTTGGAGGGCTCCCCGAAACAAGAGATTTGCCCACGTCGCCAAAATCACAAGTGCAACGTTGCTCATTGGCTCCGGTGGACACCCAGGGAGTGACCCATGGGAAAGGAAACCACCAGTGCTCAACTCATTCTCTGCTGAGCAATCTTTCCCCCGATCCCAGAGGGGAAACCACCAGTTGCACGGTTAAGGCTCATTTTAATTCATTTTCTGCTGAGCAATCCGGATCTCAGAAACCTTCACGATGGGCTGGCTGGATGCGCGTGACAAAGGGACCGGCCTAGGGCGCCGCGGGTAAGATGGACGCCTGGGGTCGGCCAAGCAAGCCAAAGGGACTCAAGAAACGGTTGATTCCACCAACACTCAAAAACAAACAACACACACACACACACACACACACACACACACACACGCACGCGCACACGCACACGCACAACACGCACACGCACACGCACACGCCAAAAAAAATGAAAACAAAAACCATTAAAGAAGACTGACATGCCTCAACTTCTTCTGCTACGTACAAGTCAAACCAACAAAAAGAAAAGAAGACTGACATAGCTTAACTTCCTCTGCTACAAGCGACAAGGAGGCACTACCCTCTAAAACACGCGGCATTCCCCTGTTTTACCTCCGAATGAGAATCGTGTTGGACCTCGTCCTTCGCGAAATTACCTCCTCCTTCGCTGTACACTCACCCATTTTAAAGGCCCTCAAATGCCCACATTGGAGCGAAACTCATTGCCAATAAACCCGGATGCACCCATGAGTCACAATCAAGACTCGGTATTAAGATGGTCGACCCCCAGAACCACGCAAAGAATTAGACGGAAATCCGCACCCATTTATGGCTTACCCTCCACTTACCCGGGTTTTTAGTGACTCTCATGAAGTTTCGGGCGACCTTGCACGTCTTCCCGTTCCTTGTAGCAAGCAGCCAGAGCCAGCACACGGAACGCTTCCACTCAAGGCGATGTTGACGAACCTTGAATATTAAGACCCAACTCTTGTGGTTCGTGCCCTTCAGGGAGCTCTATGCAGGAAACTGCCGATTCACGCTTTGCCGTGCACCCCAGCGCGAATTACCCCAAAAGCGCGAAGATTTGAATTACATAACCAGTCGGCAAGTTGCCTTGCCCATGTCCCCTGCCTCTCCGCGCCATTCAAAGAAATCAGGACGATTGCTCACACAGCATGCTTCCTATCATCCAAATGGTAAGGCTTTTCCCTTAAGATGCATGTCGAAAGATCCAATCTCCAAATCAACCTATAGCTTCATCAGCCTTCCCTCGTTGCTTGGTGGTTTGAAGCCGAATCGGTGGTCTTGTGGTTAAGGAGGGGGAAATTCGCTTATTTACCTACAAGAATTAGGGGCTCAAATCCCCGATCCCAGACACCGACCTGTCGGCTGATCTGAGCGAAGCCCGTTGCACCAACCCCCCAAGCCGCAGCTCCAAACTTCGGCTGGTTGGCAAGAACGAGTATGCATAGCTGGATGTATGGTTCAGCCTTTTCGATTTTGCCCATAAAACTAGGCAATAGAACCACCTGCAACAAGAGGAGTCAAGCTGGATTTCTTCAAATCAAAAGTTGATCAATTGACTGGTGGTTTCGATTGCTTGCTGGTTCTTGGTAAGGAATGAGGGAATAACCCTAGAAAAATCATCCCCAAGAAGGCTTCCTTTAAGGGATTGAGTCACAGCAATGCATTTCTCAGTAGTGACCGAGACCGGGTGTTGGGAATGAACCGTTTGGGGATTCCCGGATAGGAAACCACCAGTTGGATTGTTTATAGGGGTCATTCCCTTTCTCCTTCCCTGCATCTCTCGCACAAGTTGTGACTTTGATTTTGATGCATACTTTGACACATACCTAATGCCGACCCCACATTAATCAACCCCAGACGTTTTAGTAGGGGGGTGTCAGGGGGTGTCCCTGAGTTTTGTGGGGAATCACTTTTGGAGGGGAACCCTATTACTCAACTGGGGTTGATTAAATCTGGGGTCAACATTCCGGCGGCTGGCAACTCGGAACCCCCCGCGGGTGGCCCGCCCCCGTCTCGGCCGCCGGGCCATTCACCACCTCCGGGGGCCGTCTGGCCGCCTCAAGGCCCGCCTCCGACACCACCGACGAGGGGTACCTCGCACAAGTCGCTTTCGGGTCGTTTCGAGTTTCGAGGTGGAGGTCGAGCCAAGGCGCAAAAGGCGCAAGAGGCGCAGCGCTTGGGGTTTGCTCTTGGCCTTGTGGGTCCTCCAGGTTGCTGGTTGCACTGTCTCGTTTCATCTAGCCCATTCCCAAAAGTCGCGCTTCAGGGATAGGGGGATCAGGGGAGGGCTGGGCTTGAACTGACACTTCAGTGGGCCAAGCCAAGTCCGAGGTTGAAATCTATATGTTTTTTTTGGGCATCGCAAAGCCATGCTCACCTTCTGTGGGTAAATTCAAACTTGGCCTCGCACAAGGCGAATGGAAAATAAGGTCAGAATTCACGAGAAAACGTGCTCCACCAAGACAGAAGGGAACCAACTCCAAAGAAGACGAGCCGCCCATGTGCCAAGAGGAGCGCAGAAGGCTGCCTAAGGGATTTGCCTTTCTCCATTGGACCTTCGCTTGACGGGCAACCCATGCCTAAATCCGGGCGGGTGGCTCGTCTTTTTCGGAGTTGGCACCAAGATTTGTTGGTGGGTTTGAAAGGGAAACCCGAGATCCACTAGGTCCTCCAGTAGAGAGGCTGGAATAAGGGTACCCTTTTGGCACGTGACGCACGAATGACTGTCGCGCGTAGGTCGTAGGGCATGCCGCCCTACTACCAGTGAAAAGGGGGGGCATCAGCCCCACACACAGACCCCCAGGAGCGGCTCAACCGAGGGTGTGAAACCTGGGAAGGGCACAACACCAGTGGAGAGGGGGGGCCCCGAGTCCACTGGTGTGTAAAGCACAAAGTCGACAAGCCCACACCCACCAGCCACCCCCAGGAGGGGTGAATGGGGAGCAGGGCAGGCACAAAATCCCAGAAGGCTGGTCAAGGCCGCAAGGCCGAAGCAGCCCACCCCCCAAAAAGGGGGAAGTCACAAAACTGCTGTACAAGCGTAGGGCCCGAAAGTTGGAGAAATCCAAGAAAGTCGGGACCTCCGGGGCCACTGGCACACGCTACAGGGATATGAAAAGCACCATGAGGTAGCAGCCACTCACAGCAGGAGGGATGTATTCACTATGCTGCGGACTTCTGAAAGCTATAAAGAGCCAAGGGCACGATGGCAAGGCAGCCCGCATCACGACTGCCGAAAAAGCCCAAGGTGTCAAAAGGGCACAACCCACACACAGATAGACCCGCCCAGAGAAGCTGATGCAGAGCGTGAAGAGAACGAGGCATCAAAGGAACCGAAGGCGCGCAACGAAGAGGGCCAGCTATACCTTCACCCCGTAAGAAAGGGGGTGTCTCGAAGCGAAGCCTCCTGGGTGAAGCGGACCGGCAACGAATGCGTCACCAAGCGGATAAGCTCCCCGAAGACGACACATCACAAACACGGCGAATGAAGAGGGTGACCAGGGGGTACACGAGGAGCAGGTTGAAAACAGAGCTGCCAGCCATGGCTTTTTGGACGCAGGACCGGGCATTCCCCAGCCCTGCCCCGGGGGCTTGGCTCCCTGAGCCGAGGGGTGCTTGAACCCGGACGGCTATAAGGGTACCCTTTTTGCTCGTGACGCACGAATGTCGGTCGCGCGTGGGTTGTAGGGCATGCCGCCCTACTACCGGTGAAAAAGGGGCAGGAGCCCCGCACACAGACCCCCAGGAGCGACTCATGGGGAGCGGGGCATGCACATAGTTCCGGAAGAAGCTGACTGTAGGCCAGGGTCATCGGGCGACCCCGGCACCTCTGCATGGCCAGGACTGCCCAAGCTGCACCAACACACGCAAGTAGGCCTGCAGGCCGACGCTGGGGCAGCCGCGACTGCCCAAGGCTGCACAGCATCCATCAAGCAACCGCGCCCAGCAAGAATTCCCAATCTCTGGGTACCCTGCCAAGGCGGGAGGCCCGGAGCAGGACCCGCTGAAGCCACTTGTGCTCCGCATCAGTGCGCTGGAGGTAGACGCCCGGCCAAGCACCACGTGGCCATGTGACCCCAGCATAGCGGCCAAGCCGCGGCCCCCAGGAGTGGGGGAAGGCATCCGGGTTGCGCCGGGTGATACACTTCCGCACGGCCTTGAAGTGCACCAAGAGGCTACGGGCCGTGGCAGCACCGCCAGCATACCTTACAATGCCGGGCTGCGCCGCCAAAAGAGCAAGGCCGCCTCCAGGCCGGGCTGGAAGTCCCCACCGCAAATCGTCCACGTAGCGGAGTTCAAGGCCTTGCTCCAAGCCCACCACTGCAGCGGGCCGTGAGGCCAGTCCAGCGGTTTGGTGAGGAGCTTCTCCACATGCAGCACAGTCGGGCCATGGCAAGGTTCAACCTCTACAGGCCTCAGAAAGGGCCACCTCGGGATCAGGGGGCTCAGGGGGCGGAGTAGGGACAGGGGTGGCCGCCAGGGCAAGGAAGAGCTGCTGGAGCCAGCGATGGCGCCGATAGGCAGAGAAGAACAGGGCAGACATGCGAGAGACGAGAGACAGGAAGGGCAAGGGAAGCACGCGCCGCCCGCTTGGCCGCACGGTCAGCCGCATGGTTACAACGCGCATGCATGAGCTCAACCGAACCAGGGCACTGGTTAAGAGGCAGGTGGCCCCGGATCCAGTGGAGGGTCAGAGCAAAGCCAGAGGTGGCACGCAGGTGAACCAAGTCCCAAAGGGGCTGCCATATGTCAGCAGCCGCAGCATTGGGAGGTACACACCCCCTCTGGTGAAAGCCATGCCAAGCGCGGACCGCAGCTTGGGAGTCGGAACTGTGAGCCGACCACGAGCGAGCTGAGCGGCATGCAAGATGGCGTAAACCTCAGCACGGTAGTTGTCCGCAAGGGGACCCGGCACAGGGCCAGAAGCGCACACACCAGCGGAGGCACTCACCACGGCAAAGCCCGCAGCAGCAAAGAGCAAGTGGTGAGGCAGGTAGACACTGCCATCAGTCCACAGGTGAACATCCCCACCGCCGTACCTGGGTAGCGGGGTGGTAGAGGGCCAGAGTACAGCCCGGAGGGCAGCAATGAGTGTAAAAAGACGGACCCTGGGCCTCACGCTGGGCAGGCGGCGAGCCAATGCGAGTATGGAGTGCACTACACTGCACAAGGTGTGCCAGCGTCTCATCAGCGCCATCACAGAAGCGGCATCCAGGGGAGGCGGCAAGATTGGAGGCATAAAGGCGGTCAGCCGTAGCCGCAGAGCCAACCACCACAGCAGGGGCAACCGCACGATTGGAAGGGAAAGCACGGACAAAGGAGCTCCAACCAGGACCAGGTGGCACAGACCAGGGAGAGCGAGTGAGCGCGACATCGAGGAGGCCAGACGGCCCCGGGACGACGTCGGCACGCTTGCCACGGTAGGCACGCTGGTAGGCGTGCTGGGCGATGGTCCACTGCAGGAGTCTTGCCAGAGAGCGAAGGGAGACACTAAACAGGGACATCCATGGTCCCGAGGCAAGGGCAACATCTGCAGGGGCCCGGAAACGTAAACCGCACAAGGTGACCGCAGCAATCACGTTGGAGACCAACGTGGAAGGCATAATCCTGGGATTGGTAAAGGCGATCCGCCACTGGATGGCGAACTTCTCCGAGCGCTGGAGGTGGGAGGCCACATTGAGTACGGCGCGGTACGCCATGGCGTACTCGGGGTGTACCAGATCCCCGGTGAACAACCGCAAGGAGTAACTCACGAGAACGCCAGCCAGGCCGACCATCCCACAGGACACCCGCAACCTCAGTAGCCAAGGAAGACAGAAGGCCACGAGGGACAAAGTTTAGTTCCGCAGAGTAGGTAAGCATGGGCATGGCTTTGCGAGCAACAAAGGTGGCTTTGGCGAAGGGGGAAAGGGGCAACACACGGATGGCCCTGAGGGCAGCCCGGAACCGAGCAACTGCAGGGGCACGAGCATCCTTAGTGCCACGCAAATCCAAGTTGATGCACACACCGAGTGGGCGAAGGGAGCGCAGACGTGGCGCACCGAAAAGAGCAGCCTGGAGTTGCAGGGCAGGCGACTCCTGAGTAGTCCACCATCCAGACTTGTGGAGGTTGAAGAGCTGGCCGGAGAGGCCATCAAAGAGGGAAGTAGCCCCTGACAGCCTGCACAAGGGAGGGGATGGCATCCGGCGAAGAGACGGACATGTAGCCGTCGTCAACATAGACCCGGGGTTCAACCCCAGAGAAATGTCTGATGAGAAGCGCCAGGCAGCCATCAGGACATTTGCCGCCAGAACCGAGAGGGAGCAGCCCTGGGCGATGCCGTTGCAGTTGGCCAAGGGAGTAGGGTGGATGGCTCCCCGCCAAGAGAGATAGCGCCTGAAGTCGCAGTAGTTGGAACGCCAGGCATTGGCCACAGAGGCTGGGAAGCCCAAGGCCGTAAGGAGAGCAACAGTGTGGTCAGAAAACAGGCGGTCAAAGCACTTGGAGTGGTCAATCTGGATGCCCGCGAAGACCTCATTGGTCGCCTTGGCTCATGAAGATCAAGAGCAAGGTGGTGGGTGATGTCATCAACACGGCGACCACTAACCCCGCCACAGACCTCAGCGGGGAGTACAAGGCCTGCCACGCAGAGGAAGCACGGAACCTAGCCGAGGACCACGCAAGGTAAGTGATAGGAAGGACAGCAATGAGGCGTTTGGAGAGGGGGCTGGGGCCCGCTCCTTTGTCCAGCACCGCAAGTCTGGCCGTGCCGAAGATGCGAGGCATGGACCACAAGCCCGCCTCCACCTTGTTGAAGAGGAAGGCGAGGACCTGCAACACCCGAAGCGGGAGAGCCTGGACCAGCCATCCAGGCCGGCCGAAGAGTCCACACTCCGAGCGCAGATGGAGCGAGCCAAATCTTCCGGCGTGACAGCCGGGAGGTCAAGGGGCGTAGCCCGTCGCTCGAGCAGGTGTTGGATAGGCCTCATGAGTGGTTCGACAGGGATGCCTTCAGCGTGGACGGCAAACACAGTGTTCCACTGCTGTGCGGCATGCGCCAGTGCATCCGCAGGATGGTAAGCAGGCAGTCCATCATGCCCAGCAAGAAGGTTGGGGGAGGACGTGGCAGCCGCCTTGGCAAGGTGTTGAAACACAGCCTTCCCCGTGTGCAGGGCAGAGTGGCGGAGACGCTCCTTCCACCTGCGGTAGGAGGCACGCTGCCGCTGGCGGGTGACTTCCTGGAGCCGGCACTCAATTTTCTCACAGAGATAGGCAATGCCGCCAGATGTGAGATCCTGCCCCACTTGGCCCCAGAGTCCACCAATACACGAAGTGCAAAGTCAGAGAAAAGAGCCCAGGCCTGCTCCGAGTTGCTAGCCTCGGTGAGGTTGTGACTGTAGGTTTGCCGCCACAGATCCTCCGCACACTGAGTCATCTGGGCAGGAGAAGCCAGGGCGGTCAAGTCCAAAGGGGCAAAGGACGCAAAGGCGACAGCACGAGGGGTCTGAGTAGGAGCAGAGAACGTAAGAGAGACAGAGGCGTGCTGATAGCCACAGAGCGGAACAACGCAGGCCTGCTCCAAGAGATGGAGCGCATGCTCGCTGAGGAAGACCGTGTCAATAGCGGTAGTGGGGACCTCAGGGGTCCAGTGGGCAAAACGTAGGGGCACGGGTGTCGTCGGGGGCCATGGGGGCCAGAGGGTCGACCCAAGCCCCCGTGCTGCAAGCGTCTGCAAGCGAGGCATAAGACAGGGGGTCCGCTTGGAAATCCCCTGCAAAAACAACAGGGAAATCCTGAACGAATTGGGCAGCGAAATCCAGGATCCTGGTGAGCAGCTCATCGTTGTGCTGGTGGGTGGGCTCATCGGAGGAGGCCCCAGAGACTCCGTAGAAATTGATAAGGAGGAAACGAAGTCTCCCAAAGACTGCCCAAGATGCCTGGACGCGACCCGTAGCCAGTAGGGGGCCAAGGTGGCCAGTAACATCCTTCGAGACATCGAAGTCATAGACAACACATGCCTGAGAAAGGACAGCGAGGCCTCCCCACTCAACTCTTCTGACACCATTGATGTCAGTCGTGATGGGCAAGAGGGGACCAGGGGTAAGTTGGCGGTTCGCCTCCTGGGCCGGAAAGCGGGCAGTGCGAATGTTGTCCGCCGAAAGGCGGGCCTCCTGCAGTAGAAGGACCTCGGCAGAGCAATCAAGCAGGTCCGGATGTGCCAAGAAGGAGCCGACATTGTGCGAATGAAATGTGAGAGGCCCTTCGCCAGGAAAGCCAAGGGTAGCATCAAAGCAAAACTGAGTAAAGAGAGTGGGAGCCGCCCAGCTGAACAGAGAGAGGGGCATAAAGCAGCACCCATAGCGCAGAGAGACGAGATGGACAGCGCGGCCCCACCGCAAGTGCCCAAGAGTATCCACGCTGCGCCACAACATAAAAAGACAAAGAGGAGCAAGACCACACAAGGCCCCGTATCCATGGCAAAGCCATGGGGCCTCCAAAAAGAGCGGAGGGGTATGCACGGGACTCCAACCGCCTTGAGAACAGCCTCAGAAGGACATCGTGAGCTCTCATGTCCTGCCCCGGCAAGATAGGCAGGATTGGTGTAGTATGGCAGGGTGGCGGCATCCAGAAGCCAAGCATGGTCCGGGGCTTCCTGAACCTGGAAGGACTCATGAGTCCAAGGGACCGGGGAGGGATCCTGGAAGAGGCCAACAGGCTGGGAGGGCGGCAGATCAACATCATGGCGGAGTAGCATCTGCGCCGAGTGCAGGGACCAAAAACAGCATGATTATGGAGCAGAGTGGTATGCACAGTGAATCCAGCCCATCGGATGAAGGCCAGGATGATGGGGTAGTGGGGGTGCACAGGAAGAGCATCCACGCACTCCATCAAAAGTGCCAGGGGGGCAGCACGCCGAGCCCACAACATGTTCTCCAGGAAGCAAACGCCAGCGGGATCTTCCAGGCCGTCCCGAGAGGAGGCTCGCGACCAAGGGGGACAGGGAGGAGAGGCCGTGGCCACGTGGCAACCAGACCAGGGAATGACATGGAGAAGCATGCGCAGGGGTGGGGACCCAGCTAGACATCCGTTGCAACTGCACCGCCTCAATGTCCAAGGTGGCCGCCTGGGCTGAAACCACGATTGGGGAGTTGTCCACCAGGACCTCATGGGCAACCAAGGCCAAGGGACCTGCTAATGCATTCAAGAGCTTGGCCCCAACCATGAAAAGCACCAGCAAAGAGGTGGGTGACCGAGAGCGGTTCAGCCGGGAGGGGTTCCCGATCCTCCATACAACCGTATCCTCCTCAATCAGGGCCACGCGAGGGAGGGTGCCAGGTTGCAAGGAGATTCTAAAGGCTCGCAAGTGCTGCTCACCCGGCTGCAACAGGGCCTGAAAGAAGCTCGGAGCCCGGAGTTCAAACATGAAGAGCAGGCGCCGAGCACGCGGAGTAGCATGCAAGTCAGGCGGCAGGCCAGCAGAAAGAGGGAACACTCCCAGGTGGAGTCACCAGTTTGAGCATCCACACGGAACTGAAGCAAGGCTTGCCATGCCACATGAGAGGTTCAGAAAGTGCCCTGCTCGATCAAGCCATCGAGGGAGCCAAGAGCACGGTCCGACAAGGAGCCCAAGGCGCGCAAGACAAGGGGATCACGCGTCAACATGGCGGAGAGCCAAAGCCACAACGCAGAAGCCCAAGCACGCACAGGAGCCAAGAAGGCACAGGGCAGGGGCAGCGTAGGGTGGCGGCCACAGGAGCAAAGGCGGGGCGGCGGAGATGGGTATCCACCTTAGTAGACGCGTGACGCTCCAGGGAGGAGTCGCCACGCCCCGGGTGCCCAGAACCCTGAGGCGAAAGACCTTGGAGCCAGACGCCTTAAGGGTACCCTTTTTTATGTAGTCTATTTTAGTAGGGGATTTTTTTTAAGAGAAAAGGGGACTACTGTCCATTTTTCGGGGGTCCCCTAAAAAAGCATACACACACACACACACACCCTTCTTTTCTTGATGCCCTTTTTTCTGTTCCACCGCGAATTCACAGGCCGGGTTCCTTCCAGAATCTCGCGCCTTTCCCAGACTCAGTGTTTTCGATGTGCGGGCCCAATCGTCTTTACATCGAGCAGCCTCCAAGCGAGGGGGCGAGTCCCTGGACTCGCGGACACGAAACTGGTGTTCGTTCGCTCGCTGCGTACGCAAAGGTGCCGTCTGACAAGGTCACCCCACGCCGAGCCATCGAATTCCGCGCCGGTTCTTCGGAAACATGGCGTGCGCGCATGCTTTGAAGAACCCGAAACATGCCAAGAGCTCCCGCGCAGGTCATCAGAATTTAAGCCTTGCATTTCAAGGAGGGGATTCACAGATGGAGCCTTTGGAATCACACGGATGATTGAAAAGCACGTCCCGCAAGGGCGTGGTCGCAAGACTCGCAGACCTGAAAGCGAACTGATGCTTTGAGTTCGCCGTTTGAACTCTGCGACAAGCAGATTGATAAAACGATCTGAGGCGGAGCTTCACAGAAGCCGACTGCAGACCCAGCATCCACCCTCAGACGTGAGGCGCCAAGGCCCTTCCGATCAGTCCGATTTGAAATCATGCTCCTGGCTTCTGACAGGAACGTTTTCATGTGCACACTTCGGCTGACTCCTTTAAATTGCCAGAGTGCCAGTGGCAAACCGCGGTTGCATGGAATCATTGTTCCCTATGTGGATATGTGTCAAAATAGGCAACACAAAAACAGAGGTATTAAAAAAAAGGACTGGCTTGCAACAATCAAAGGCCCCCATCAGCTCGTGGCCTCGTCAGACTCGTCGTCGCTTGCGCTTGCCTGGCATGTGGTTGCTTTCCCGGGAAAGCGTGGTGACCCTTTTTCGGAACTCCCAAAAGTGGCGATGGTTTCAACGGACACCGGCAGAAAGTTGATCAACTTCAAGGTGCATGGACTGGGAGATTCACCTGTTGGTTTTGCAGATCAGCTTCTTATTTTTCCCAACAGCTGAAAGCTTTGGGGTCTCAGCCCAGATAGGCTCCGGGGTGGTCCGGGGCGGCCCTGAGGTAAGGTTCCACCAGGGTTCCACCAGCGTTCCACCAGGGTTCCACCAGGGTTCCACCAGGGTTCCACCAGGGTTCCACTAGGGTTCCACTAGGGTTCCACCAGGGTTCCACGAGGTTCTGCGAGGGCTGCGGGGTGGTGCGACCACTAGAAAGAGCACCGCATGCTGTTGGGAATATCACCTGAGCTTATTTTGGTGGGCGGATCAGCGTTTTTTCGGCTTAGTGGGTAGGCGTTCATCTCAAGGGCCAGGGTTCAATTACTCGAGCCTTCCAGACTTAGGAGAACTTCTCTTCATAAACTTCGACGCTGAGGAAACACTGAGTAATGGGTTGCGCTCCGGGTTCCGAAAGGAAAGCTTTACCCCGCATCTCTTCTTCCTTAAGTGACATTGGGGCAAGGGGACTGTAGCCTTCTGCCCCTATCCACAAAGGGGCGCATGAGTTGAGTCACTTTAGACCGGAGTCGATCCTCGCCTGTAAGCTGCCTATGTGGAATGCTAGAGAAGGTGCTCCCCTTCAGTGATGCATTCCCACAAGGGGACGCACCCCTTTTATTCAACTGTGGGTCTATAAAGATCCACCTTTGGGAAGGAGTTCGCAAACTGCTCTAGCTCTGCACTGCCTCATTCAAATGCCAACCACAAACACCGCTCAGGACCGCGACCACACCCTCCCCTTTGCGGGAAGCTTGGCTTTCGTTGGAAGGCAAACACAAGTACGACCCCAAAGACGTCCCCACAAGGAAACCAAAAGGCGAGCCCAACACACACTCAAAGGAAACAAAGGCGACACCAAATGCGACCCCAGAAGGACATCAAAAGCCGAGCAAGCGCGCTGAATGCATAAAATGTCTTTGACATAGTCCAGTTACACTGAGAAGTTGCACCGAGATAGCTTGCTGTCTTTGACAAGTGTGTTTGACAGCTCTGTTTTACAGTTGTGTTTGAGCTGCTGTTGCGCAGCTAACGCTTTCAGAAGAAGGACGGCTCATGTGAAATAGGAACAATCAGGCCTTACTTGGCGATGAATATACATACATACATATATATATATATGTATATATTGCTTTAGTTCGCCTGCCTTATCGGCTGTGAACCACCTATGTGGTTCACACGGGCGTTCTTGTCCACCAAATACCCCAAAAAGAAGCAGCATGCTTTGGAGGAGACCCCAGAAAAACGACTGCCTCGTCACGGGCAGCATGGTTTGACCTTCCTTTTGCCAACTTTTGCGGTCGGTGGTCAACGGTCATCGGCTTCCCTACAAGGCTGGGCAGGGGGCTTGGTTTGGGAAAGTCCGATTCCTCTTTTAAGACACGCCGAAGTAGGTCCGGCTTTTTAAAGGGACCCGCCCCAAATTCCCAAACTCCCAAATTGGACTTCGGTGTTCCGTTCGGCTTCGCCAAGCCACCAAAAAAGAGTTTTCAACGCCACTCAAAAAAAAGCGGCGACCCAACAAGTGTCAGGTTGCGGGTGTCGACACCCACGCCCAGGGGCCCTGGTGGATGACTAAACCACCAGGTGTTCTCCAGGAATCGCCCTCTATTTTTCTACCAAAACAACCAAAAAGGACACCTATGCAACCACGCCTCTTCGTTCACGTCTTCCGCGCACTCCTCCAAGGAATGGCCGCTGGTCTCAGGGAGCCAGCAGTAGGCGTAGCAGAACCTCGCGAAGCGAGCGGGGAGAGGAGGCTCGGCGGCGGAGGCTCGGCCGCCGAAGAACTCGGCCCGGCGCTGTGCCCTTGCTTTTTGTTGAGGGAACCCCGTGTTTTCTTGTTTTTATTTTTGTTTGTTTTTTGCTTTTTGTTTGTTTTTGTTTAAACATATGTGTGAGGGTTGTCCAATATTCCTTGCTCCAAAAATCGCCTTCCGCCTCGCCCTTCCGCGAACTTCCGCGAACTTCCGCGATGGAGGTAAAACCACACATTCTGATAAGTGTCTGAACATAAGTAAGTTTCCGTAAAGTTAAAGTAAAGCAAGCCAAGAGGAAGAGCTAGCGCAGAAAGCAAGAAGTAGACTAGGAATGGAGCGAGGATGGGACGAAGAGCAGAACGAGCAAAAGGAAGGAGAAGGACAAGCAAACGTAGGAAGCGGAGCAGCAGAACACCGGAGAAAGAAAAGGAAGGAGGAACAGGGCAACAAGCGACAAGCTACGCTACGTAAAGAGACTAGCCACCCCCCGCGCAAGGCGACAGCCACAGTTGCGGGGGCTTCGTTTTGGTATCGTTTTGGGTATCGTTTTGAGCACTAGCACGCTGCTACAACTGCGGCGTCCCCGGGCGAGAGACTGAGCAGCAGCACTGGGAAACAGACACAAGCGACATTTTACGCTAAAACAAGAGACGGGTGGGCCAGCCCCGGCGCAAGGCGACAGCTGCAATTGTATGGGTTTCGTTTTGGCATCGTTTTGGGTATCGTTTGGAGCTCCGAATGAAATGCCGGAACGGAAAAAATCGGACCGCAAATTTTGTTTTTTCGCGCTTTTCTACAAACTCTGCCGAGGGAATCAGAAGGACCGCCGAATCTGATGCCAGACTCGGTAGCTCAGTTGGCCCCAGGCACTCCGCGGTATCATTTCGGAGTTGCGCAGGCATCGCTCGGGGTATCGTTTTCACCTCAGTACAAATCAACACATGAAGCACACTTTGACTTTGACCGCCCAGCTGAAACATCGCACTTTTTTAAGTACTAGCAGAGTACGAGCTGTCCCAGCTCAAGCAGCACAACTTTTCAGTACTCGTGTAGTACAGTAAAGCTTCATCCCATGATAACACATAACCTTCCGCGAAACTTCCGCTCGCCCTTCCGCGGTCTTCCGCGACCACAGCGCCGTAACACCGAATATGCTTTCGTATTCAGTCCTTACAAAAAAAATCCATGGGGGGTTTTGGTCGATCCTCATATATATATATATATATATATACTTGTTTTCATGTGTGTGTTGCGCTTGTTGTTGCGTTTCTTCTTCTTCTTCTTTTTTTTTGGGGGGGGGGGGCAGGCGAGCCCATTTTTTCCGGGGCAGGGGGGGGGGGGTCAAAAATTCAAAAACAAAGGGAACAACACAATTGGGGTTCCTTTTTACTTGAGCCGAACCGAAGGGTCATATAGGCCCGTCTTCGAAGCGAAATGGCAGCACCTTGAAGGAAAGCCGAAGGAAACCCAAATCTGCGGAGTCCAAACCACAAAGAAGCACACCCCCAAGTATAATTTGAATGGGGGGTTGCGATGGGGTGCTCTAAAGCCCATATGTCTTGTCCGTGGGAAAAATGTTGTATGGGCGTTTGTTTTTCAGGGGAACACCCAAAATGGCTTCTTTTACAACACAAAAAGGGCTACCTTCCAAAAAAGACAGGCTGGTAGTTGTGGTTGCGATTGGCTTGGATGGTGCAAATTGCAACCAAGAAACCACACCCCAAACAGCACACTCCCCGCACCTGAACTTCACCCTTGAAAACCAGAATTTGCACCAGCAACCTGCCCCCCTGCAAGCACAGAAAGTCTCCCTCTGGTTAACCAGCCCTCTACATCAGTAAGAGTAAGAGCTACAGCTGCCGGCTCTCCGGGGAACAATGGAGCCCAAGTAAAAAGAATAAGCCACCCGGGATGGTGTCTGTGCACAAATGGGCCAAGTTCGTCCGCTCCAAGTTGCCTTCGCATACCTGAAGTGTTTTCAGGGGGCATCCCAGGAGTTGCTGAGAACTCAAGCTTCGGAACGGGCCTGCGAACAATTCCTGGGCCACAGGCTGACCTGGGCCTTTCCTTTGGACCGGCAAGCAACCTTAGCGCGTTTCAAAAGAAAGGAGCCCCAAGTGGAGAAGAAAAGCGAAAGGATGCAAATCGCATGATCCCTTTTTGTGGGAACCCCCGCTCAGAATAGTCCAAAACCTGGATGTGTTCAAGGCTCAGAACAAACCCCCACTAGAGTGGAAAAGCTCGCCAAAACAAAGCACTGGATTCAAAACAAAAGAGAATATGTTCAATGCACCGCCTTGAGGTCCCCTGGCAAGCATCCTGTTTCTTGCCTTTGAGAGAAAGGAATCTCGGTTGCTTTCTGCTCCCCTGCTAAAGGTTGAACTTTTAGTGGTTGAATGGAAAACCCATTCGTTGGCACAAAGTTAAAGTCCCAACATCCAAGCTAAATGCACCAAAGGAATACATGATTACAGTTAGGCCCAGTTATAGAACGTGTAGTTTATTGTTTGCTTCACTTTGAGTCACTGGTCAAATGTAAAATGTATCCTAAGAATATGCAAAGGCTCCAGCCAGCTTTGAAATCTCTGCACCGAGTCCGAGCCACATGAGCACGCCCACCCCCATGTAGACCAAAAGCCCCATGGGGCCCAGCGACATGACCTCGGTGACACCCTTTCGGACCCTTTTCAGACCCCTTTCGCCCGTGGCCTGGTGGTAAAATGGGTGGCTTTCTGCAGTTTCCGTGGCAAATAGATGGCGTAAAACGCATCTGAACCACTGGAACCCACAAAAAAAATACCTATGCTTTCGCCTTCTTTCATGAAATGAAACCAGGGTCCCAGACACGTGGGCGACCAGTTTTGCAGGAAACATGAACCATGGCGGCGATGTATCTCGGGGGACAAGTAACGACAACTGCGGGAATGATGACTGAAAAGAGTGCCCTTAGAACAATACACGCCCACTACTCGCATCAGCGGCCCTGGCAATATGTCGACAGCTTGCTTACGTGTGGGATTACCCTCCGGCCAGAATACAAGCCGCCCAACACTCAGTACCCTTTTTTTGTGGGCATTCTGTGCAGGGGGTGTACCCCTAGGTTCAAGTCTATCTTGGGGTAGCCAGAAAGCGGAACCCTGGTTTAAACACACCCTTGCACATTATCTATAGAAGCTGCAAAAGCCTGGTCTTTAGAGGAGTATCCCAGTTGGCCCTGGATGAATCCATTGGACAGTAGCACCCTCTTCAAGGGGTGGACTTTGGGGTCCAGATGCTTGAGAAGAAGTGGGACCTACATGGGTTTGTCTCATGAAGGATTTCGCCATGTCCTGTAATCCAGCCGGATCCCATTGAGAAACTGAAGCATGGGGCGGCAGCACAAGTGAAACCAAATAGAAATCAGATGTGCATCACATCGAGTGCTGCCCCGCCAAAAGGGCTACAGGAGCTGGTCCCGGGATATACTCTTAGTCATTTGCCGCCTAGTCGCGAGTTGAAGTGCCAGGTATGTGTTGATACCCTTTTCCAACATTGCAGCTGTTTGGACTCCAGTATGAACGGCAACACAAGAGTTTTGGAGGATACCCCACTCCAAGTAGCACGTGACCATGGCAATACCCGGTCTCCTCTTTGGCGTCCACTTCTATTGGAGGTATATTCAGGACAAGGGACGATTACCGTCCATGTGTTGTTTTTTTGTTTAGCGCGGAAGTGTAGTCAGGGCAGACTAATTATAAAACAGAACCTGAACCTATCTTTCTTCTGTGGCCGGAGTTTTGACCAACGCAGCGGACAATACCACTGGCAATCTATGGTTGGTGTGAGGACAATTCTGCGGGACCCTACTCCTTTGGGGGGAATGAACCGCCCTGGGTTTTCTTGTGTTAAAACGTCCGTGGCCTCAGTGCTTTCCCTCAATGCTGCGGATCGATTGCAGGGGTTTGGGACTGACCACATTTCGGCGCGGACGCCCCGGACCCCACGATTTCTTGGAAAGAGTAGACATCCACGGACCCCTGAGACAATGAGAGTCTTAGAATCGTGGCTTTCAAGACAAAGAGAAACACCAAAACAACAAGCGTCTCCAGAAAAAAGCGGCAAGTTCCAAATGAAAATTCCGCAGGGCTGACATTGACGTTCAAATTTCTTCAAATGGGGTGTGTCTTCTGACTAGGGAAACCCCCAACGGCTGTTGGTTCCTTTGGTGTCTATCGAAATAAGGCCAAAAAGGGTACCCCAAAAATGACAGAGCCAACTCATCCATTTGCTTAAGTCTCCTGGAAAAACATACCTATTTCCAGTGGTGATAGATTTCCTTTAAAACCAAACCCAGGAAAAATGGTTCCCCCCCCCAAAAAAAAAAAAAAGAAATGAAAAAGGTCTGTCTTTGTGAGGGTACGGAGAAAGAAAAAGAAAGGAAAAAACCATTTTGGGGAGGGTTATCTCATCTGGAGACAAACCAACAAACAGGTGTTACCATCCCTGAAAGCTTGGGCAGAGACCAGCTGATGGGGAAACATGGGCATGTCTGTTTAGGGGACACCCCCCAAAATGGATGTCAGCTTTCCTTGTGGTTCCCCTCTCAAACTCTAAAAGCACCAAAAAAGCGGAACGTTATTTTTTTTTTGGGGGGGGGATTCGCCTGCCCGAAAAAAAAGAAAGAAAAGGGACATCGACCCCATAGCTTTCAGCGGTTGGGGGGAACATGAACACACACACACACGAACTCTTCAACTCCCGAAGGAGAGATCGCATCTTTCGAGCCCGACCCATCAGTTTCGAGTGGAGCTTCACTCTAGCTGCTTGAACAGGGACACAAAAGAAGCAACGGTTCAGGGATGGACCCAAAGGACATTCACAAGCATCTCGATTGGTACGTGAAGGGCGTCCAACGTTGGATTTCACCAGCAAAGGGCGTCTTCCTTGGCGCAGGCCCCTTCAGACACACACACACACACACACACCAAAAAAACGCCGGGTTCCCTAAAAACTGTGCCACCTAGTTCCAACCTGCCAAAAACAGAAGAACAAAAAAAACAACTGGACGAAGTCTCACTCCTAAGTCCTGAAGAACAGTCACCTTTGCCAACCTGCCGGAAAAAAGAGAAGAACAAAAACTGAACTCCGAGAAGGAAAAAAAAGGAACAAACAAAAACTCTCTCTCTCCATCCCCAAACCCAGTGGGAGTCGTTTGGTTTTTTTTTGGTTTTTTTTCTTGTGTTTTTGTGTTTTTTTGTTTTTGTTTTGTTTTTTCGAGCTGCGCTCACGAAGGTCATGGAGGTGAGCCAGCCCGCCCCGAAGAGCGTGGCCGTGGACATGGCCTGGGAAGCCGAGGAGTACCTCGCGCCCCCGCAGGCCGTGACCTGCGGAAGATCGGAAGATCACGCCACGAGGAACCACGGGACACGGCACGAGGCCCGGAGTCATACACCCCCGCGCAACATAGAATGAAAAAACAAATGGGGGGGGAGTGGGGGGAACTTTCTTCCAGAACCCCCCCCCCCCCCCCGGTAGAATGAAGATAGGGGGGAGGGGGGGAAGATCTATGAGAACTGAAGTCCAATCAAACAAGGATTAACAAGCTAGAAATGTCAATACCAAAACAAAATAACCTTCCCTTCCCACTGATTTTGCAAAATCCCTTTTTCAGTGGGGAATCCTTTCTTCCAGGGGACCCCCACTTGT